CCTGTACCAAGAAAATTGTTTTTCTGGAGTAAATTGTAGTGTATTTTACTTATGAAAGGTCAAAAAGTGCATGGAGATTTTATGAAAATGTGTGGATGCTAACAGAATGATGTCGTGTGGTCAGTTGCGCAATAAATGGACTATTTTGGGCGTAACTATAAAATGTGTCACCGAAGTACTCACACGTGTGCATGATTCCAATAGTTTGTGCTGTGAAGAAACTCTACTAGAAAATAAGTATTGTGTAATTTGTAGTGAGAATGTATTCAAATAGATTTATATTTATGAATCTTGTTTCTTTTCAAAGTGTATTTATATAATAAAAATTGTTTATAAAAATGTTTTTTTATACTTTTTCGATGGATTGAATTTACAAATGATGAGTAATTTTGTTAGTAACTTATGTTTTGCCCTAGGTGCGTGCGTGCGTCCGTCCGTGATCACCTGTATCTCGAACATACATGGACCGATTAAGTTCAAACTTCACTCATACATCACACATTATATGGGACATATGCACATCCATTTTTTTCATGATCCGATTAACGATAGCCGAATAGCGGCCATTTTAAAGCCGAAAATGCATCAGAATCACACATTTTCACCATTCCAGACCCGGATCTCAGTTATGCATGGATGGATTTCGTTCAAATTTGGTACATACATTAAACATAATAGGACCTTGATGCACGTCATTTTTTTTTCGACTGGCGGCCATTTTGTTTTAATAAATTCAGTTCTGGATCCGTATCTGAGACATGTCTGGATTGATCAAGTTCAAACTTCACACACACATGATACATCATGTCACAAATAGATTTGTGCATTTGTTTCATGATCCGCTTAACAATAGCTGAATGATGGCCATTTTAAGGCCGAAAATGCATCAAAATCACGTTTTTTCACAATTCCGGAACCTGATCTCAGTCATGCATGGATGGATTTTGTTAGTCCCCGTTCGGACAGAGTCCGAAAACGGGGACTTATGTTTTGCCCTGTGTGTGTGCGTCCGTCCGTGATCACCTGTATCTCGAACATGCATGGACCGATTATGTTCAAACTTCACTCATACATCACACATTATATGGGACATATGCACATCCATTTTTGACTCCCATGTGCGAAGCACAAAATGGGAGTCTTTGCAGTTAGTGTGTCTGTATGTGTGTCTGTATGTGTGTGTGTGTGTATGTGTGTCCGACTGTTCCACTGCTATCTCAAGAACCACTCATTGGATTTTGATGAAACTTGGTACATAGATGCTCTGAACATATGCGCAGATTTGATTAATTTTTGGTAAAAATCCGTGCATATTAATTACCTAATTTGCATGATAATTAGCTATTTTTTAGTGGTTCCATGACTGTTCCACTGATATCTAAACAACCACTCATTGGATTTTGATGAAACTTGGTACATAGATGCTCTGAACTAATGCTAGGTTTTGATTAGTTTTTGGTAATAATCCGTGGATACTAATTACCTAATTTGCATAATGATTAGTCAATTTTCGGTTTTTCCACTGATATCGCAAGTACTAATCATAAAATTTCAATGAAACTTGGTACATAGATGTCATACGACACTGCACAGACCTGATAGTTTTTATGGTAATATCAGTACATATTAATTACCTAATTTGCATAATTAATTAATTTTCAGCATTTGATATAAGTAGTTAGCATTACATTTCAATGAAACTTGGTACTTACATACTCAAGGACTATGCAGAGATTGATTGTTTTCGATAAATATTTGTGCATATTAATCACCTAATTTGCATAA